GGGGCGCTGCTCGGGAACGCAGCGTTGTATTAGCTTTTGTTTTCCAACCGAGCGAGAGGGAAGGAAAGGCACAGCTTCCCGGCAGAAAGGGAAAACGCTTTAAAAAGGGCTCCCGCTGCTGTCAGTAGAAAGAGAGATTTACCTTGGATTGTTTAAATCCTTTCGTCAGCACACAAAATGAAAAACTCCAGTAACTGCTGTGACGGAGGATCATTTACTTACAACAAAGCTGAGGCACCTTTGTCGTTGAGACTGGACCGGAGCTCAGACTGGGAACAGTTGGCCCATCCTAGAGAATTTTTAACTGAGATAATTACAGACCTCAGTTCCCCCCACCTACAAACCTAAATATCTCCTGAAACTCCTAATAGAAAAAAACCAAAATCTGCAATATTTGAGGTCCCACTGTGATGGAGTTAGGAATCTCAGGAAAAAAGGATTTCAGAAAGGCTTACTGAAGTAAAAAAAAAAAAAAAAAAATTGGTTTTAAATAAACCAGGAATCCCCTGTCCCAATATTTCATTGTTATTTGTAATATTAAGGACATTAAATTGAAAATGTTATTTTAGCCCAAGAGGGAATTTAGAAAAGGGAAACTATTTCCCCAAGAAACAAATACAAGTTCCTTGGATTCCCCCCCGATTTCAGAACAGATGTTACTAAAGAAAGTGATTGACCAACTAATAAATATTTGTAACTGCTTCAGTCTCCTCTCTCCCAGCCCCCCAGAAATCACACAAGCATTTTTTTTTTAAAGAATAAGAGAGGTCCAGAAAATATTTAGTGTTCCCTTTCATAATTTCCGAGGCTCACTGGACATTTAGCTCACTATAGCAAAATTAATATAACAGGACAGAATTCTTGGCTATGCTTGTGACTTTATCAGGTTTCAGAAAAATCAGAATACACTAATTTTCTCTGTAAACCAAATGACAATGCAGTTGCAGGTCTGTACCTCATCAGTCTTGCCTTAGTTTCCAGTCAGTAGTGCCAAGACTTCAGGCCTATCACCTTCCACACGTTTCCTGGCTACCCAGTGCTCTGGTGGGAAGCACACCACAGTTGGGAGGCAGCACAGATGACTAAGTTATTTCGGCCTTTGTTATTGTTTTCTGTAAGAAAGACTTGAACAATTCAGCATTTCTGTGGTGGACGCAAGCCTAATGCCTCTTCTGAAAGTGAGTCTTCAGAGATGGGTCAGTATCAGACATCCCCACATCACTTTCGAAGACCTTGTCGTATCTGTGAGCTCTGAATGCCATAAATATAACCCTGGTCCACAGCTTGCTTTACTACAGGATTTGATCTAGATGCTAAATTAAAGTAGAAATTTTCCTGAAGAAAAAAAAAATAGGTTATTCAAAAAATGTGTACTAGAGTTGTCTGGAGCTCAGCCAACACAGAAAACCTCTGTTAAGCCAACTACATATGCTTTGTAAGCCCACATGTGAGACTTCTAACAATAAAACAAAACAAGCGTAATTAGACCCTTTTCCTTACTCACCCCACCCTTTAACATGTACTTACAGTACCATTTCAAGTGTATTTCATACTATCGATTCAAAATAGATAGTAACATGCGAACTGTGATACAATTTTATTAAAAATAATTTACAGCATCAGTAACATTTTATGCACAATTGTCATCAATTGAACTTAAGGTATATCTATACAATACTTACTGAACTTAAAACTTACACTGCTTTGTTGGCTTTAAACAGCAGACATTTAATTGCAGTTGCTTAAATATGATGAATATACATAGTTTCATGTCCTTATACTTAGGTGGCAAATGTATAAACATCAACACTATCCCAAAGCTTTGTAGTTTGGGAGGGAGGAAAAGGAGCGCAAGGAGAGAAAACATTTAGAAAAATTGGAACAGATTCTTCTCTGAATCAAACTAGAGAGAGGATTCTAGGTTAAATACATCTAACACACTGAGTCACTTCTTCAAAGGGTACATTTCCTCCTATGCTTTAAACTACAAATAAGAGGTCTTTTAAAGCTCACAGGATCCTAGTAGTGTGTCCAAAGTTAAATGTCTTTCCTTTGCCCTTGGGCTGTTGAACTGGACTTCACAATGTTCACTGCTGTACAGGGAAGAGGGGACAGGCACATTACCACGGACAATCGGGCAAGCATTCTCTTTGCTGGCAGTTCACTACCACGTGGGAAGCAGGAGAGTTCCTCACAGCACCCGCTGCACGCCAGGTGTAGTGATCCTAAGGGTCGGAGTCAGACTGCACAGCTCACAGAGACGCTATCGACTTTGTCAGATTTAGGGGCAGACCCACCGCAGCAACAGCAGGAGCCTGAAGTTCAGCAGCAACTGTGCCAAAGCACATCCAAAAAGCTGCCTTTCAGTAATCTGAGGAGTGCAGCAGAATTAAAGGAGTTGCTATGGCAATGGAACCCATCCTGTCTCTTAGAAGAGATGACTAGCTTTAGTGTTGACAATGTGTGGGTAAGTCACATCCTTTGGAATTGCACTCCACCAGGCTGGGTTACGTTGACATGGCTTGGAGCACTGTTTCCTTCTGAAGTAACAAGCACTGTACTGGAGGGTGGGACGCTGTGTTCTGTTCAAGCAGTTGCAGTTACACAAGTTTTCAATAGGCTTGTAGTTGTGTTTTTATCATCTACACAAGGCATCATTCTGTGCCAGCACTGAATTCCTATTTGCTCTCCAATAACAAACATGTATTTTCTTGAACTAAATCAAGACTATACCTTTGAGCTGGGAAAATAAAAGTATAGAGACTGTTGTACAAAAAATAAGATCTGCTCAATAACTCTGGATAAAATTAGCAAAGGCGTAACACAGAACAGAAATTCATTCAGCATTCAGTTGGATATAGTGTTCAAAACTGCATTGATTTATGGCCCATAGCAGTGGCAGGAGGCACTGGAATAGTTTTTATCTTGACTAAAAGAAAACCACCATGTAACTAATGAAATATAAAATCAGATTATACAGAATTTCAAGCTTTAGGGATCTTTGTCCAATAAAATAATGATTATGTATCAAAGTTACACCAGTAAAGTAAAATTAAAGTGGCATTTGAACTGCCAAAAGATTAATATATTTTAATGATATAAATTATGTCGGGTTTTTTTTGGTTTTTTTAAAGGAATGTCAGAAACATTTAAAGATTTGAATGGTGCAACTGTTAGTTTGCAAATCAGCTAGCTTAATGTCTGGTTATTAACTCAAAGCACATATAGTAAAGCTAATATAGTCCCCTTGAAAGTTTTGATATTTAAGACAATGTTTATAAAGCACAAAAAAAATCTTAAAGCAAAATCTTGACAGGTTATAGGCAAGTTATTGCAGCTTTGTTCTCCAAAATAATTAATCTCTACATAAACCATAAGCAGTATTATGAAGCTTTTCAAGACACAGGAGCAGAGATGTAGCATCCTGAAGCTGAGGAATCACTTGCACAAATTAGAAGTGTTCCAATTAGTTAAGTGGTAAAACAGCACTTTTGCACAAACTGTGCATCTTCTGTTAATATTACACATAGAACAGGGTTTCTACTGTCAGCATGCTGACAATTAAATTTATAGAAGTTGCAACGGTGTAAGAGACAGATTTGTTCAGCATTCTGGGACCTTCAGCAGGGGAATCTGATGCTTGTTTGGAAGAGCTGTGAACTAACAGCATATGAGAGAGCATTAAAAGGCAGTGTGGCCACATCTGACGAGTAAGTATAACTTATCAGACATAAGTTGTATTTAAAGCAGAGGAATTTAAACAGTCCTAATGAATGTTTGTAAAGACTTTTAAAGGTTAAAATACTTTGTCTAATGATATCACAGACAGTACAATAAAAACTCATGTCAAATGACAAACCACATCCCTTGAAGTAGGTATGACAAACTTCAACTGAAGGATGCTGCAGCTTGCCAAAAAGCCAGGGTGCTACCCTGAACCTGCATGAACAAAATAATTTATTTTTTTTTTTTTTAATGCAGAGATGTTTCTCATACTTCTAAGCACACAATATTTCATAGTGTGAGCAGTTTTAAATCTGGATCCAGATGAAATATAATCCCATAATAAAGGTGAGAAAGTCATGATCTGTGATACAGGGTGCCATGGACCTCACATGGACTGCCTTCTGTTCAGCCCATGACCTAAAGAACAAGAAATTAAAAACTGTTTTAAGCTCTGAATGCAAAAAAGAAAAATTTCTGTTTGGCCTTTAGCATTCCATACCATGTGCTACCCTTAAACACACAAACAGCAATACACAGATTTACAGGTGCAAAAACCAAGTGGAATCAACTGCAGAAAGTCTTCCTGCATAATAATCTTCAGCACAATCAGTTTCAGATTTCGCAGAGTTTATTTACAAAATGGTCTGATAAAACATCCCCTCCATACTTACAGCTCTCCGCCACAATACACGCTGATTTTAGCAATGTTTAATAGCACCATTAGAATATTATTTAAAATCAGGAAGGATCTTTGTTGCAGTTACAATGATTCACAATCTTTTACATCCATGGACGAAGTAACTTTGAGCACACTAGGACTGTTTGCAGTTCCACAGTACAGATTCCTGGGTTCACACAAGGCATTTTCAGAATTACCAGTTATGCAAGGTACCCATAGAGTCAGTAGCTACTATAAGAATCTTCGAGCCACAAAGTTTAGACTTCCACCATATCTGTATAAAGTTATCTCCATATCATTTTCAAACAAGGCAATTGCGCTGAATGCTCTTCCACTGCTTGTCTTCAAAACAAAAGCAAAAAAGAGAGACCAGTTAAGAGTTTTGCTTTCGCTTCCCCTTCCTTATTTGCAGTTAACATTCTAACCCCCAGTTTTGTTTAACGCAAGCAAATTCAACCTGCATATCTGCCACTGCAGAACTGAGACACTGCAGGGAACAGAATGACAGCTTACTTTACTGCACAGTTCAGATCCAGCTGGGAGCATGCTATGTACCTACTGACAACGTGGAAAAAGCCACTTCCCTAAGATAGCACAAAATAGGTTATCATGGGCGTATTGTTCCTCTACACAGAATGGAAAGTGAAGCCTCTCTCAAATAGTTACACCCTTGTCTTTAAAAGAGCCTGAATGACAGATGAGACTCAACTCTACCCTCATACAGTGCCCATGATGGGGGAAACAACGCCCAAAAGAACGATCAAGAATCTCAGGTTGCATAATAAGTTGCGCAGAAAGGAGATGTGTGTATGTACTTTAGGAAACTTCAGTAGCCCTGATGAACTTCAGGCAAGATTATAAGCTTACTTTCAAAACAAATTAATTTTTGTTTTTTCCTTCTTTCCACCATCAGGATTAACTTTTCTTTCTGTGCTTGAGCCCCACGTTGGGCGCCAAAAAAGGAATGTGGTGGGTTAGCCCTTGGCTCGGGGCCAAGCCACGCACACCCGCTCACACAGTTCCCACCCCCACCCAATGATAGGGGAGAGAAAAGAAAAAAAAATTAACAGAGTTAACTTTAACCCACGACATCAGCACATTCAACATAGAAATTAAACAATATTGCAAAGGTACCTTAATATCCAAAGTCATTCCAGGCGACAGCTCTGGAGGGAACAATATAGAAAATTGCTCTCTGCCGGTGAGACCCAAAGTACTTGGATTTTCCCCAGGAAGAAACTGAAGTGGAGCTATGCCAATTCCAATCAGCTGACTTCTATGAACCTTCTCATAGCTTTCAGCTAGGACAGCTTTAACACCCTGCAAAAATATAAGTGGTTTTGTGTTTCAGTGCAGCAGTCAGCTGAAATGAAATGCAAAAGTAAGCTTCAAACACATTATGTCCAAAATCTTGCAGTTCAAACTGAAGAGTAAAGAGAGTGCTTTGTTTAAGGCCTGTAAGGAGGTACACAGCTAAATGAAAGCAAATAAGCCAGGGCAGGCCCATGCAGTATGAAACAGTTTTATAACAGACAGGGACTGTGCTGTGGTTAGCAGGCAGCAAATCCCAGACCACATGTAGTTGCTTCCTTTACTCTACATGAATAAATAGCTGACTCAGAATATATCCTGAATTCTAGGGGAAATTAGTCTCTGATAGCTAGATACCCACAGAGACCAAACAGAGGCCAGCACTAGATTAATGAATGTCTCATCTCAAAGTCTGGAGTCCAAAACAGTAAGATACATACTTAGGAAATTAAGATTTCTCCTGACTAGCAAGTCTCTTCTATGAAGACTCAAGCAAAGAAATTGAGAGAAGTCTTCAAAACCAAAATGTGGTATTATATTCAAGACTAAGGACAGTTTCTAACCACATTCATGCCCAAAACTAAACAATGTGTTTTTAGGTATTTCCAGGAAAAAAAAAACCACACCCCAAAATCAAACAAACCAGCAATACCAGTAAAAAAGGCCCTTTTGCAGCCCAGTCTCTTGAGCTACCCAGTCCATACTTCTTTCCTGCTAGAATGATTACAGGGATGCCTTCTTTCTGGTACAACTCCGCTGCTTCAAACACATCTAGCTGTGGAATAACAAAGTGAAATAGTTTTGAGAAAGTTCTAAATCTGCATCACCATTTCAGAGTAGCTACGCAAACAAACATATTTTTACCGTTTGTCCTGATGGGAAGTGAATTGTTTTAGGAGCTGGTTTTCCTATGAACTTATTCAGAAGCTTGATATTTGCAAAGGTACCTCTTGTCATCACAGCATCATTACCTCTTCGAGCTCCATAAGAGTTGAATTCACGAGGTGTGAGTCTAGAATAAAAGGAATATTTACAAGGGAATAAGTTATTTTACAGATTATCTGGTTTAAAACAATATGATGATTTTTATAATTACTGCAGCATCTACAAGTTTGCAGTGCAAGTTGTAAAGAACTAGTCACCCAAGAAATGTAATTATAATAAATCATTAACAAAATACGCAAATAATTGCTAGATTATTCATGAGGAAAGGTGCAATTTTAAATTAATTTTCTATGACTTCATTATAAAATGCTACGAGCACTACAGTACCTACAGAAGAATTATGGAGAGATTGTTCTAGCTCAAGAGTTGTCTTCTAGCAAACAAGCCTGTTTACTTATCCTCTTGCCTCTACCAGCATTTCTCTTAACAAGCGTTGTACCAAATTGAGAGCTTTACTCCTAAACCCAACTACCATCCTGGGATTAAAGGCCCGTTAATTCTTTCTGTTTCATAATACTGAGCAGTTCGTTCAGACTGAAGGCCGTAGTTAGAAAGAGCCTGCACCGCAGGCTATTACTTTGTCCTGCTTCAGTGATACTGTAATAACAATAGACATTTGCAAAGTAACACAACCATGTAATTTCCAAAATATTCAGCAGAGGTGTGACACTGAACAGCTCAGCACCACATTGTGTTCTGTGTCTTCTCAGAATTTCAGCGGAGGTGCAAGGCACCTACTACTACTTCAGGATGCTCACTGACAGAGAGGTAAGCTAGAGCACCAGTCACACTCATTTATAAAACCAGGCTTCGTTTTTTTTAAACTATGTACATTTCTAGGGCTTCTGATCTGTTCTGTGCATCTACCTGATTGTTCTTGAGGCCACTGACAGTAAGAGTGACTAACCTCACACTAACAGAAGATCAGTCACCCAATCTGTAAATTAGTAAATTATTTTTGCTTTGGCATGTGTTTCACAGCAGACCTTACTGTAACAGCTACAGGACTGCATTCTTTAAGGGTATGTCTCAGCTGTTTGTTATAACCTGAGAGAGACTGCGAGAAAGGTGTTACTGGAATTTCAAGACAGGTGATTACTTATAAACGCCAGTAAATTACTATTTTGCTTATCCACGTATAATCTGTTTTACGCACACAGGCATTTATAAAAAAGCAACAGTGCTGATCAATTATTTGGCATGTGAAACAGTCTTCTGGTACGAGCTGTTTAATAAGAAAAGTCCTTACCCTTTGTTGGTCAGATACTTTGCAGCAGCACTACTCCTTGCAATGCTTCCAGCAGGGGATATGTGATCTGTAGTTACAGAATCTCCCAAATAGAGCAAGACATGGGCATTTTCAATTGGTTGTGGTGAAACTGGTTCTTTGGCCTAAAAGGGAAGGGACGGGGGGTTGGGAATAAAACCAGAAAAATAAGAAACACATTTTTCTTCCAAGACTCTTAGAGACATAAAACAGATCTGCAATATATGAAGACACATTGATGTACAGGCTCCACTCATTTCAGAGGTACAAATAGCATTTAAAAGACTGAGAAATATTAGGGATAATCACATTTATTACTTACAAGTTTTACTGGAATATTTCCTTTACTTAAATTAAACACACATAATCTGGTGGATAGATCCAATGTACTTACAAGTTTATCAAAAAAGGAGGGACATCTGATATAAGTAGATTTTAAATCCCAGGGAAATAAAGTTGATTCAGGTGCTTCCAGTAAATTCCATCGTTTGTTTCCTTTCTACAAAAAGAAAAATTAACTGGTTTATGATCTTTTTACATGCTGAAACCAAAGACTTACTAGCGATTTGCTTTAATTTCTACTATATACTACAAGTTACCTCACTGAATATTACTTACGAATCACTATTTAATACAAGACTCAGTTAGGTCCTCCTTTACAGTAATGGAAATAACTGGTATACCAATCATATTCAACTGGAAGATATCATAAAGCTACAATGAAATGCAATCTTTAAGTTATGTAGAAGAAAAGACCATGCTTACCTCCATTTTTTCTTTCAATTCCTTAAACATGGATGATATCACACACTCTTCCTCCACTGTGTGAAGTTCTTTTCGGGTAGGCCAAATGTCTCGTAAATAAATACTTTTGCCATTAAAGCCAGTGCCTGAGCAAGATGTTAAACAGAATAGTAATTTTGAACAATATGATATTAGACTTTGTATTTATATTAGAATATAAACATGTATATATTCAGGTCTTTAGAGATTGTACCAGATATGCAAAGACTTTAATCAGTTAAGCGGATGCTTTGCTTTAGCTGCAAGCAACACCAAATATATCTGTGCTTTCTCTTCAAATAGACTGGTTTTGTATGCTGAAATGCACATGAAGAAACCTCTTCTATGCATGCATGAGACGCTGATATATAAAAAGTAATGAAATACTTACCCAAAGGCTCAGTTTCAAAGTCTATTCTAACTGTGCCTGCAATAGCATAAGCAACTACTAGTGGTGGAGAAGCAAGGTAGTTGGCACGGACACAGTCACAGAGACGTCCTTCAAAGTTCTTTGTTCCAGACAACACTCCACAGGCAATTATATCACCCTGAAAGAGAGACCCATATATATTTTTCTAAGACTTTTTGATACTTCAACAGCTTATGCTATTTTTTGTTGACTAAGTCAGATGTGCTGTTAGCATTCCATTTCAAACATTTAACGCTTCAATTTAAAGGCATTTAGTTCTCTCCCACTACCCTTTCTCCTTCTCCTTTTCACTCTTGGCCCTCTGATGCATTCTCCAGTCACTTCAGTGAAGTCCCCTACTGCCTTTTATTTCTTGTATTTTTCTTCTGCTTCATAGGAGAAAAACAGTGCAGCCGTTTAGACACCGCTGGTTAATATCAGTCAAGACGATAGCTCTTTAAAACCCTCCTCTTCATTTATCATACAAAATCTACATAATGCATCATAGAATCATAGAATGACCC